TTACGCGATTTCTATTTAAGATGTTTGATAAATCAAGGCCCCATCTTGTTATTTCATGCATTCCCAGTACTACTTCTGAAGCTAGGTTTGGTAAAAAATGTAGCTTGGCTTTTCTCCAAACGTTGTCTATGGAACATTTTGCTGTAAAACAGATTTCTATGTTGCTGGTTTTTCCATCTGCCAGCGTGATCTTTAAAGCTTTTCTGTCGCTTTTTGTTCCACATTGTTCCAATATTTTTTTACCTTTTTGTCCTATAAACGAATTTTGGGCTCCTGTGTCTATTAGTGCTTTTAACTTTTTACCGTTGCTGAACGTTATCGTTGTGTAGGTCGTTGATCTGTATAGTGTGTGCGTAGCTGGAGGTTGTTAGGGAGGACTCTAAATTTAGATTAGATTAGATTAAGAGAGGTGGCCTTTCGGCCTATTCCACTGCGACCTTTTCAGATCTATTGTGGCCCTCTAGTCCTAGACAACATTCTCTAGCCTGACCCTCTTTATAAAGTCTAGTAGCTTCGAGACTGTACCTTCCATGTAGCTGTTTGCCGGTGGATTTTCTTCTCCTAATGCAAAAAACCGCACATTTGCCAGACTGTCACACTGACATAAAATGTGCTCTGCCGTTTCTTCTTCGAGGTGACAGAATCTGCACAGGTCATCATCTGATAATCCCATTAGCTTCAAGTGCCTATTCAGCTTACAGTGCCCTGTTAGAAGACCTACTATGGCTTTGACTGTTTTCCTATCTTTGCTAATTAGGTCTGCCGTAAATTTTGGCGAATGTTCTCTAATGAACTGTTTTGCCTGTCTTTGTCCTGGTGAATTCCTCCACCATTCCAGAGATTTGTGAGCTACCCACTCCTTTGTAGCCGTTCTTGTTACTGACTTTGCAACGCCGCAGAAGGGTTCCGGTCCAATGAATGGCATTGATGAGCCTTGTTTGGCCATTTCATCTGCTTTTTCATTGCCCTTATGACCCTCGTGCCCCGGTACCCAGGCTACCGTAACCTTGCTACGGTCTCCTAGTTTATTTAGGGCACACACGCAATCCCATACTAGCTTAGAATTGACCTCTACAGAATTGAGTGCCTTAAGCGCTGCCTGACTATCTGTGAAGATGGCAACTGAACAGAACGTTCTTTCCTGCCTTTCTATTTCTTCCACACAGTGATGAATTGCAGTTATTTCCGCCTGGAAAACTGTCACATCCTTAGATAGACTTACCGGGAAATGTATCCCTTGATTTGTCCCTACTATGCCGGCTCCAACACCCTCCGATGTTTTTGAGCCATCCGTGTACCAGGTAGCAGCAGCTTTTATGGGTACCCCTTTATTCCACTCTTCCCTGCCCGGTATCTTAATTGTGAATTTATTGTTAAAGCTATATCTAGTAGCTGTTGCATCGATAGGCTTCCCCATCACAATATCGGCTTTTAGCTCCTCGATTAGCTTTCTGTTGTCAGTACCATGCGTTTGGCTTATATGTCGCTGACTATGGATTAATCTGTGCATCACTGATCTGGCTTCGCCCTGTATAAAGATATGAAGTGGTGGTAAATTCAACAGGACTTCCAACGATGCAGTAGGAGTTGTTTTTATGGCCCCCGTAATACACAGGCATGCTAGCCTTTGTGTACTACCTAGCAGCCTTATTGCTCCCACTTGCTTCGTCTTTGTCCACCACGTCACCGAGCCATAGGTTATCATGGGTCTAATAACCCTTGTATATAACCATAGAGTCATTTTGGGGTTTAGCCCCCAATTCTTACCGCACATTCTTCTACATCTGCCCAGGGACATAGTAGCTTTCTGTGTGGTTTTTATAATGTGAGTATTCCATGTAAGCCTATGATCAAAATATACCCCAAGGTATTTTGTTTCTTTGGCAAATGAAATCTCTGTTCTTCCCAGCACCGGTGGTTTTAGGCCTTGTAGTGCTGTTTTCTTGGTAAAGTTGACGATTTGTGTTTTCTGAGCATTGACTATCAGTCTCTCTTCTTTACACCAGTCGTCAACTATATTTAGGGCTGCTTGCATTCTCCCAGACACCACCTGAGCAAACCTGCCCCTGACGACAATTGTTATATCGTCAGCATATCCTAGACAATAAAAGCCTTCTGTTGACAAATTTCTGAGGAGATCATCTACCAAGGTTGCCCAAAGTAGAGGGGACAGAACTCCTCCTTGTGGACAGCCTCCACCTACTTTTGCTTTGATGGTTGCTTTACCCAGAGTGGACATTACTATCCTATTCTCTAGGGATGCCCTTATCCATCTGCATATTACCGCAGGTACGCCTCGTCTACTCATAGCTCCTATCAAAGAGCCGGTGGTAACATTATTAAATGCCCCTTCTATATCTAAGAAGGCGGCCATTGCTATCTCTTTGTCTTCCATTGACTTTGAGATAAGCCTATTTAGATCATCCAACGCCGAGTCCGTAGATTTACCAGGTTGGTATGCATATTGACGATTGCTTAGAGGATTTTCCTTTAGCACTTCGTCTCTGATGTACCTATCAAGAAGCCTTTCCAGCGTTTTTAATAGAAAAGAAGATAGGCTTATTGGTCTATATGACCTTGGTGTTAGGTCTGATACTTTACCTACCTTAGGCAAGTATATGACTTTGACTTTTTGCCATATTTCCGGTACTACCCCCCATGCTAAACTGGCTTTGAGGAGCTTGCATAGGTATGGTATCAATACCTCTAATCCCATATGCAACAGTATTGGATATATGCCATCCGTCCCTGGAGACTTATATGGCCGGAACTTATTTATAGCCCATCTAATTCTGTTTGGTCTTGTGATTGCTGTGGCTATTTCCCAATCTGTAGACCTTGGCCTAGTGAGCCTTTGGTCTACGTTGGTTTGCCTATCTGCATCATCCAGAATTGTTGAGCCCGGAAAGTGCGTGTTTATCAGTTCTCTAAGACTTTCCTCTTTGGTGTCCGTAAATTTGCCATTAGCTTTCTTTAGGAAACCTACTTCTTTTGTTGTAGCAAGGACTCTAAATGCTGACTGGGTTGCCTCCTTCTTGTCCAGTCCTGTTGGAGTTTTCCGGTCGGCTTCTACATTGGCAGTTATTGGAAGTTGTTCCTCGGGTTCCGCAATGGCTGCAGAAGAGTACAGCGATAGCTCTGCAGTTTCTTCTATTGTGGCCTCTGTGGCCGCATCTCCAACAACAAGTCTGTCTGTCGAAATTCTGTATTTTGTTATTACGGCTATTTGCCCGTGTCCAGTCACACCTTGTATTGTTTCTGTTATTTATTTCTTTTTGAACCATATCATATTCTTCCGCTAGTCTGATGATGTCCTGTGTTGACGATACGTCTTGCCTCTTTATATACAACTTGTATTTCGGGTTCATATTGGTGTATATCCTGTTTAGTTCTTCTTGGTGATTGAATTCACCATGTCTTCTGATCATTGTTTGAATATCAATGATGTAGTCTTTTACACCTTCGTTGTTTCGTTGGAGTCGGTTCCGGATTTGAGCTTCCAGAGATTGCGTGAGAACGGAGGAAACGAAGAAATTGCGAAAATCTTGTTCGAAGTCTTTTAATTCGTTCCAATATTTATTATTGTTTCTGTACCATAGTAATGCTTTCCCGTTTAATGTTTCTGGTAGAGCTTGTAAAACGTGGGTGTCTTGTAGGCCGTAAGCTGTCTGGAGTTCTTTCAACCGTTCTATGAATTCTATTGGGTCTCTTGAACCGTCAAAGTGTAACCCCCATTTGCGTACTATTTCCATCTTTCTTTGTCTGTCTTCCATCTGGTTTTCTTCTATTTCCTCTGGGTTTTGGCCTTTTTGAGTTGGTGCCTTGATGATCGCAACTAATCTCGCTCTTAGCTCGCTGAAATTCCCTTCCGTCGACTGTTCTCTGTTTGTTAATTCGGCTATAAGTTCGTCTTTCTTTAATAGGTACACCCAACTAACCTTCGACGTTTCCGGAGCGTCTGTCATTTTTGAACTGTGAATCACCCTGTATTTGAATAAAGTTTGAAATGCAGTACTGTCTCATGAAAATAAAATTCGGAATTCGGTCGGTATTATTGTTTAAAACGAATTTTTCTGCTCGGTCGCCATTTGTGACGTCCTCTCGTAGGAGTCACTATCCGGGTAGCTTTTGGACAGTCAGAGACAGAGTTCAAAATAAAAATAAAACTTTATTGTCTTCCTTAAATTAAATTGACAAAAATCTTATGTACATATTTACAATTTAGTTTAGTCTTCTCAGTACCTGGCCTATTTATTCAAATTAAGTTTGACCTTGTCGTATGAAGTTGGTCTTATCGGCAATCGAGTGTGTTTTCGGAATTTTACGTGAACGTTGTAATAACAGCGGACGATAGGTACAAAGAAAAGAAAGGAACTCAACACGTCCCTTAAGTGATTCGGGTTAATAGGACACTCCTCGACAGTCTCAACACGACTGCTTCGGATCACGGGTAATGGAGAGCTCAACACGCTCTCCGGGTGACGGTATGGAACGGAAACAACTTGTGAACTCAACACGTCCACAAGCCGGGGTAGGGAAGAAGAGAACCTTCAGTCAACACCTGTCGATTCTGCCTCTATGAGGAAATAATGCGGTTTATATAGCAAAGTTTTGCCCTTTCTACTGTCGATACACTCCTACTTCATGGGTTGGTTCGCGCGCACGCTGGTTTAACGGTGATGGCTTGGACTCATCGTTACAATATGGTATACAGCCAACTACACGAACGTATATTCCTGTGGATTTAAATAAAATATTAGCATTTTGTTTATGACATAACTTAAAGATAATAATACTTATTAAACGGAAGATAATTTAAAATATAAATGACAAATATATTCAGATTTGGAACAACTTTATATTATTGTAAAAAGTAGTCATAACCAAATATGAAATGATAATACTGATGTTAAGTATCATATTAGTTATAAAAATTTATATCAATTTATACCAAACTTCTTTGACTATAATATTGGTTCTAAAGCCGATTTAAATTTTAGAGCCAAGAATTCATAATAAAACTCTCGGAGGACCGTAAAACGGTCAAACTTCAAAGCCCAGATATGTTATTGAAAGCCGATAATGCAAAACTTTTGGAAGTCACTGTAAACTACAAAGGATCTTCCTTCCCTAGTCTACAAGAATATCGATTGAATGCGAGAACAATATGCCCCCAGAAAAATCTGTAAGTATGACAGACTATGTAATATATCCAGATTACTTCTAAAAAAAGTTTTTGTACTTCAGAAGAGAGAAAGCTTATTGGAAAACTGTCAATAAAGTATAAGAAACAGAATGTGACAAATCTAGGTCAAACTAAATTAAACTTTAGCCATTAAATTCATGGGTGGACTATATATTATTTATATAGTAAATTACAAACACACAAATAAAATTAGATCAAAATATTTTTTTTACCATTTTTAATATACATTTTAACATTTTTCCTTTGGTGATTACATAAAAGAATATAAGAACGTACAGATGGTATTGTTTTTGACCCTTTTTGTAGCTTTTTTACTTTAGGACTATTCTCCATCTTTTAGAATTGATGCAATTGCTGCTAAATCATTTTAACCATATATATATATATATATATATAAACGAAGAATGATCACAGCTGTCCAATTATTAATTAGTATAATGGTAAGGTTGATTGGTTAGCAGCTGAATAATGAAAGCCAAAGTGTGCTCTTTTCAACGACTTCGCTATATTTCGTTAATCTTCAGACGAATGCTACAATATGTTACAAAATGGTGAAATTGTGTATTTTACATAAGATGTAGTGAAACACTTACTTGTGTGAGGTTGCAGGCAAAAGTGGTATTTGAAAGTTCCATGTTGAAAAACTTTTTTTGAAGATTTTTTTATAGCAAAAAAAAAGGAATATTAAATTTAATAGATTACAACTACCTCAAGGTTATGTGTTAGTTAGCTTGGATGTGGTTTCCCTATTTAGTAACGTTTATCTTGAAGCTTGCATCAGATCATTAAATAAACATTGGTCAGAAATTAGTAGACATTGTACAATAGATAAAGATATGTCCATAAACTTAATCACCTTCTTATTCAATAATACCTATTTTTCTTTTGACAACACATATTACAAACAAACTTTTGGAACACCAATGGGAGCAAAAATTAGCCCCATTCTTGCTGCATATGTAATGGATGACCTGTTAGACACAATCATTCCAGTACTACCTTTCAACCTTTTCTTTTTAAAGAAATATGTAGATGACATGATCTTAGCTGTACCCAACAATATGTTAGATGAACTACTATTTATATTCAATAGCTACGATCCTTACATACAATTTACCATGGAAGTCGAAGATGAAAATCAATCTATTCCTTTCTTAGACACTAAGTTAATCCGCTCAAATGATAACATCATTATAGTTGATTGGTACACAAAATCAATGAGTTCAGGCAGGTACATTAACTACATGTCCTATCATAAACACTCCACCAAATTAAACTTAGTAAAACAAATGAAAAATAGGGTTCTACAAATTTCAGATATATCATTCCATCAAAAGAATCTCAAAATACTTTATGATCTCTTTATAGATAATTCCTATCCGCCTCTTCTTTTAAAAACACTTTTATATAATACTACATCAGTAACATCTATCAATCTAACTACCTCCCAACATTCTGACATAGCAAGTACAAATTCACAGAATACGGTTACCAGTCAAACCCTTCCAACATATTGTGTGCTGCCCTACATACGGGAACTAACACCAAAACTAACTAGAATCTTTAAATCATATGATAACATCAAAATAGCCAATAAAACAGTTTTAACAGTAAACTCTATTTTCTCAAAAATGAAAGATCGTACTCCGCATGACCAAATATCTAATGTTGTTTACAGTATCCCTTGTATGGACTGCAATGGCAAGTATATCGGCCAAACCTCTAGACGTCTTAAAGACCGTGTTACCACTCACAAAAGTGACTGTAGACTTTACCCAGATAGACGCACCCTAGCCAACCACGTTTACACCCAGAACCACAGAATGAATTTTGCAGATGTCAAAATCCTCGAAAAAGAAACAGCTTATAAGAGAAAACTTTTTTTAGAAATGACCCACATAGCAACAACAGATAATATAATCAACACAAAATCAGATATACAACACCTTAGTGAAATTTATTCCTTTCTACTGCAGTTGGAAACAAAAAATAATCAAGTCAACGAACTGTAATATTCTGAATAGTAGAATATTGTCTATTAAAACTCTTCTGACCATCCAATTGAAGTAGTAACTTAATCATTATTATTGCAATTGTTGCATTTTTCCAGGAAATAAAATTCTTAAGAGTAATAACAATAATTAAAATAACTTTAAAAGAAATAATCACAAAGAAATAAATAAATTCTATATATATTTATTAAACAGAATTTAATTGTCTTAAATTAACATAACATAATTTTCAATTAAATGTAACTTTACACATAAACTGAACACAGCTTTAGTTTTCTGGCTGACATCTACTAATATGATAGCTGACAAGACACTTTAACCTTGAGGTACATACTAGATTTCCACCTCCTTGTGCATAGGTGAATAGACTGATCCAAAAAAATGACAATGTGATATGTAGTTGTGTTTTTAACTGTTTTGTTTCTTAAATGTTCAATGTTTTTTAATATTTGTATTGTACTATCACACTGGAGGAAAATAACAAAAATGCACTTGTATTGTTTGAGTTTTCAAGCCACCATATAACACATACAACTTATTCCTTTTTTTTTGCTATAAAAAAATCTTCAAAAAAGTTTTTCAACATGGAACTTTCAAATACCACTTTTGCCTGCAACCTAACACAAGTAAGTGTTTCACTACATCTTATGTAAAATACACAATTTCACCATTTTGTAACATATTGTAGCATTCGTCTGAAGATGTTAAAGAAATTTAACGAAATATAGCGAAGTCGTTGAAAAGAGCACACTTTGGCTTTCATTATTCAGCTGCTAACCCAATCAACCTTACCATTATACTATAATATATATATATAATATATATATATATATATATATATATATATATATTATTTGTAGTCTCAGCAATTGGTCTGTGTGAAATAAAATACAATGGGAATTCACTCTATAAAATATTGCGCTTACCATAACTCCCAAATAAATTAAATCAAAAAAAATGTCATTTATCTAATTGGATATGTTATCAAAATTTAAAATTTTTAATCTCAAGTTGTAAGTATTGAAATATTCATTTTGTTTACATATAATAATTATAATAAATTTACAGTTTTCTCCTGAAGAAGTCACAAAATCGTGACGAAATATTGAGAAATAACAAATAGAGTTTTATTTCACACAGACCAATTGCTGAGACTACAAATAATATTTAACACAGTACGGTCGAGAATAATTTGATATATATATATATATATATATATATAATATATATATATATATATATATATATATATATATATATATATGTTCTTATCTCATGCTCATTAATGTATGTTATTCGTGTTTTTTAAATATTTACAGATTTTATTTTTCTCCAACTACACTCCTTTAACCGATATTTTAGAATGTATATTTCACTTGTTTTTAAGAAACATATACTTGGAACCAAGAACTTAAAGGTCAAATAGAGCAAGCAATTACTACGGACTAAATATAAACAGGAAAAAAATAAAACTTAATAGATGATTATTAATCAAATCGTGATCAATGCTAAATTATTTTTGGACATTAGCGATCATCATGACCCATTTTACTCTATCTGGTGCAGTTCTGAAGAATTCTATTGTTAATTTTTTACTTCCAATGCTCTAAATTTTTCAACCAGGATGTGCTTCGTCTTCCCCATAATATTTTCCCTTCTACCTGCCCTTGTATAACCAATCACATCAACTCATATTTTTAATGTCTTCTTTTACTTTTCCTCACTTTTTCTGTTGAGTATTTCCATTTCTTTTCACTTTCTTGTTGTATTCATAATATTTTTCACATTCTGTTATAACACCACACCTCAAAATTCCATATAATAAGATAGAGATTACGTAGTATCTTAATACTCTAGTTTTATTTCTATTCCCAGTTTTCCATTACATAAAACTACTTTTATCTTATTGAAAGTGCTTTTTGTTATCTCGATGGGTCCTCATAGTTCTAAACTACGGTTATGTTGTTAATTTAGATCACATTCCAGGTAATTTAATTGACTAGTTTCTTTATAGAAAAGAACCGAGGCCTAAAATGCTTAAGATCAAATTTAGTAAAGCCTATAATAATCTCATTGAAAGATAAAGATGATAAAAAAAATAAGAGAAAAGAACGAAATCCTTAAAGTTACTCAAACATTTTACCGTGATTTATATTCCTCAAATAAGAACCCAGATAACACTGCAAAAGAAGATCCTAAGAAAAAGATAACGAATGTCAACTCAGAAAGACTCCCTAACATAGAATCCTTCGAAATAAAACAAGCTATGACACAACTAAAGAACAATAAGACTCCAGGCCCAGATGGAATATTTGTAGAAATGTTGAAATAGGGAATAAAATTATTCTCAAACAATTGAAAAATTTTTTCAACGAATGTGTTTACAGAGGAGAAGTCCCAGATGATTGGAATGAAAGTTTGACAATACTTCTCTTCACAAAAGGAGACAGGGGAGATCTAAACAACTATACGCCAATCTCCCTGTTGTTCCAAATGTACAAACTGTTTAGTTAAGGTTAACGTCGAAGCTCGATAGCTATCAACCGGTAGAGCAGGCAGGATTCTGAAAGGGTTACAGTACAGCGGATCATCTTCTTACAGTCAGAACGCTAATAGAGAAAACCAATGAATATCACTTGAACTTATACATTGGCTTCGTTGATTATAAAAAGATATTCGACCCCATAGAACTTTGGGTAATAGAGAGAGCTATGCACAACTGCAGGATAGACTCCTGATACAGAATGCTCATACATAATATTTACAAGAAAGCTACAATGAAAATACAAATAGATGCGAAAACCAAAGCTATACCAATCAACAGAGAAGTTCGGCAGGGAAGTGTTATCTCACCAAAGCTATTCACACCTAGACTAGAAGACGAGTTTCAAATACATTAACTGAGAAATATCGTTGAACGACATAAATTTAGAATCAGTAAGCAAATACATCTACCTGGGACAGATA